CACATTTCATTACACCAAATACACAAAATAATGTTCTTTTTAGCAACATCATATGACCCCTTTAAGTCCCGTTCACACTGCCAGTGACTTTTTCGCTGTATGTCGCTAGACTCGTGCTGTGAAGCCGCTTGTGGGCGTTCCTACTGCTGTCGCTCTAATGTTATTGGTAGACTGCACGTCTGGACATATCTGGACATATAAAATGCAATCACAAACTGTATATTGCCGGTAAAATTAAGATATCATTCTATTATGACTAGGAATTAGACTTAAAAGAAATAAAAGTACCATTCTGCTGTTGGAGAGTGTTGTTATATAAACTACAGCAGTGCTCGTGCATTAAATCATTAACCGGTGCTAAACTGCTCACTGCATCATATAATTAACAACTCGAACCATCAATGTATGAATCAAACTCCCTTAAACAGCCAACAGTTTCTTTTCTACGCATCATTTTTTTAATATCCATGTATGTGGTTACAGTCAAATCATATAAAACAGTGAAATCGATCAGGAAATCTGTCCTGTATTGCCTGCACTCGAATCGGTGACGTGTGAGCGCCACTGACTGATTCTTCACTCCTATTGGTTGTCGCTCACGCAATTCGCTGTTCATTTGCATAAAGTGAAACATTTATAAGAAAAAACACAAATCAACCATAGTCCAGCATAACACAGTCTAGTCCACGTTCCTGGGCCATCCTCCATACCATCAGTAGATACAGTTAGTGTATCTTTTTATGCAAAATGTAAGTTTTCAGTTCAAGAGTATGGAAGCTTGTCTGCCACGGAATAGGTAATTGTGACTTTTTATCTCACAATTCTGACTCTTTTCTCTCTCTCTGGGTGGGTAACCAGCTCTTTCTGTGTCTGCCGGTCTCAATGGCTAGACTGTGCTCACTGAGCCTGTACTTGCTCAGGATCCGTCTCTGCTTTGTGTCTCTGACACTCTGGGGATAATCTTCCAATTCATAATTTGATTTTAGAGTTCGATAGAATTGTAATTTACTTTGTGTTTTAGTTTCTTGATCCCAATGTTCCAGATATGTATTTTTAGATTGTTTGATAATTTTATTTATTTTGATGTTTGGATGAGAAGCAGTGCTGGTTTGAGACTGGTTAGTGTTAGTAGAGTTAGCCAGGTTAGTAAGTCTCAGAACTAGCTGACTGAGTGGACTCTTTTCGGGGTTCAGTTCTTGGGTTTGTAGCGAGTGTAGTGGGTTTGTTCTCTCTCTCTCTCTCTCTCACACACAGTTCTGAGTTTTTCTCTCACAATTTAGACTTTGTTTCTCACAATTCTGAGAATTTTGCGATATAAACAACTGTGAGATGTAAACTCAGAATTGCAAGATATAAGCTCAGAATTAACTTTTTCTCGCAATTCTGTGTTTACGTCTCACAATTCTGAATTTATATCTCGCAATTCAGACCTTTTTTCCCTTTAGAATACTAAGTTTACATCTAAATCTTTTTCAGTTTATATCTCACTAGTCAGGTTTTTCTTCTCAGATATGCGATTGCAAATACAATACAGTTTACATCTCGCAATTCTGAGTTTATATCTCACAATTCAGACTTTTTTTGCAGTTCTGAGTGAGACTAAACTCCAAGTCCAAATGGTAAGAAATAAGCTCAGAATTGTGAGGAAAAAGTCAGAATTGTATTTATTTATTTATTTTAGCCTGTGGTGAAAACAAGCTTCCATTCAAGGTTGTGTTTGTGTTAGTATGTAAGTCTGATAACATTCTGAGTGAGGTATCAAAATCTGATAATCACCCTGTCAAGTAATGGATGCTTGACACTGATTTTTAATTGGGGGATGAGGCAAATGTATTTTTTGCTGCGTATGTTCATGTTTGGCAAATTTAAAGCGGAGTATATGGTATTTAACTTTTTTTTAATACATTTTTTGGTATATGCTGCATTGCTGCTGTACATTCTATGTCTTTCATTTTAGCCTACATGCTCTTTTTTAAAAACTAAATTTGAATTTATTTGAAATGAAATTCACTGTTAAAACTATTTTGCCTCTACGATATTACACTTGCATTCAGATGAGCTGTGTGTGCCTATACATTTGAAAGAGCACAGAGTGCCTTTGACTTGTGATGCAGTCATATGCAAATACAGAGATGCTAAATTCTCTCACTCTCTCTCTCTCTCTCTCTCTCTCTCTTTGTTAGGAGCATCATGGAAAAAAGGCTGGCAGCATGCGTGAATATATTTCCTCGCACTACCACTATGTAAGACCAGCGAGTTTAACCTTTCACCCATTATGAGTTCTGAATCCAAAACACTGCAGCCTGAAGTGTAACTTCAGCAACAACATGCAGAGATACTAAATGGACAGTTAATATATTGTAGGTAGGATAACCTTGTCTGGACTGCAGAACTGGAGTGTTGGTCAGCATGCACAGCAGAAAAACCTTAAAGGGGTCATATGATGTTGCTAAAAAGAACATTATTTTGTGTATTTGGTGTAATGAAATGTTTTTATGCGGTTTAAGGTTCAAAAAACACATTATTTTCCACATACTGTACATTATTGTTTCTCCTCTATGCCCCGCCTTTCTGAAACGCATCGATTTTTACAAAGCTCATCGGTCTGAAAAGCGAGGTGTGCTCTGATTGGCCAGCTATCCAGTGCATTGTGATTGGCCGAATTCCTCAAGCGTGTGACGGAAATGTTACGCACCTTACCATACTGTCATGCCTTGTCCCAGCCGGAGTGACGACACAAAAACATTAAAACCCATTATAAACGAGACATTTGTTACATCCAGTGGGGACATAATTATGGATTATAATGCCTTATACTGTCTTTTTACGCGTTGCATTGCATCGCGCCGCGTAACCATAAAACCATGTCTGTATTTGTCATCGGAGAAATGACAAACAACAAGCCCTACTCTACACTGCCCAAAACTCGCGTTTGAATCATCAGTGGCAAATTCTTTAAATATAAAAAACGTACTTACAGACTGTGAGTCAGAACAGCCGGCATTGTAGTCTACTCTACCAGGATCAGGAAACAGTCCTCCATAAAATGCGCTGGACACATCGGAATATTTGGGTTGAACTGTTCTGGAACAGTGTTGTAAATACAACTTAACCACTGATTTCTAGTCGTGTCCTCTTTTGGAAGGCCAAACAAAGTAGTTTCGCTTTCACAATGAAACACAGCGTGACACACGGCGGGCTAGAGTGTGCGGTGGTGGGCGGACTTGCGGCAACCACATGTGACAACCCTGGGCTGGACTCCGCTTCGTCCACGGTGAAAGCCGATCCGGCGATCCACAGACAAAAGTTTGGGGTTGGTAAGATTTTCTGATGTTTTTATAAACAAGTCTCTTATGCTCACCCTGGCTGCAGTTATTTGAACAAAAACACAGTAAAAAGAGGAATATTGTGAAATATTATAACAATTTAAAATACCTGTTTTCTGTTTTAATGTATTGTAAGATGTAATTTCTTCCTGTGATGGCAAAGCTTAATTTTCAGCAGGCATCCAGTGTCACATGATCCTTCAGAAATCATTCTAATTGCTTTTAATTGATTTGGTGCTCAAGAGACATTTATTATTATCCATGTTGAAAGCAGTTGTGATGCTTAATATTTTTGTGGAAACATGTAATACTTTTTTCGGGATATACAGAGAATAGAAGGTTGAAAAGAACAGTGTTTATTTCAAAAAAAAATTTTTGCTAAATAAATGTATTATTATTATTTTTTTTTTTTAAATCTTACTGACCCCAAACTTTTGAATGATAGTGTACAATACAGAACAGTGTAGCTGTTTCATTTGCATTTATTTCCTTGTTGTTATAATGTTCAAATCTGTTATTTTAACTGGGACTCATTTGTGTTCCCTCAGAGCTGTGCATCCCTATGACATTCCAGAAATAATCAGTTTTCCTATTGATGATGGAAGCCAGCATTACTTGAAGTGGATGGAAGATGCAGTCACTGATATCTGACACATCAGTGTCTGCAATCCAGTGGAGTGGGAACATGAGCACAAATTCTCAGGTTAATGGGAACCCTGGCCCACACAATGAATGTCTGTTAATATAAAGATCAGCGTATAGATTTACTGGATGAATGTGTGGAAAGGGATTTGTCTGATGTGTTTTTACCAGTACTATTACATTTATGCATATAGCAGATGCTTTTATCCAAAGTGGCTTACAATAGGGGAACAAAACCAGCAATATTTATAGTAGACAATGCCAGGGTTATTAGATAGCTAGATTTGGAAGCAAGCAAGCAAAGCAGAAGACAATTGCAGACAAGAAAAATATTTATTTTATAATTTGTTTTTTATAAGACATAAGTAAATTGGAGAGAAAAAAATGAAAGGCATTTTAAAGGCTTTATCAATTTCAAGCTGCCGTTCATACTAAACTGGATGAGACTGATATTGTGGTCCGTTTCAGTGACTGTTATGCTGAAGAGCCTCTGTTCAAGCTGATATATTTATTGACCATTTAATTGACGTGAATTACTTTATTATGAAGAGTATAACTTAAAGCTAATATGAATTAATTTATTTGTTAAAATATGCTAATTTATACAACTTATTTCTGATGGTTGGTCAAGGGTTTATGTAGTGGTTGAGCAGAATTTGAGTGTTTTCTTTCTCTCCAAATATTCAATTCAAAATAAATGAATGGGACCTCTTCAACTTTGACAGCGTCACTTTTTATTATTAAATGTGGTACAATATATGACACATTAAGTTCATTATTTTGCAATATTGCTATAGAATGTAAATATTGATGTTCCTGACACTAAATAAGAGCAAACAAAATCTGTTTAAACATCATATTTAGCTCCTTTTTTCTCCCACATACATGCCTAAACAAACATGACAATATTAGGAATGACTGTAAGTTTAAGTATTAAGCTTTGGCAGCAACTGTATGTAATTTGTGTCAACACATTTGTTGTGAATATCCCATAAAAACATCACAGAGACATTCAAGCCTCTTAAAGTTTTTATATAGATTATAAATATGATGGGTGATAAACATCAAACAATATAAAAAGGGGTCTTATAGTTGCTCTAAATGTTATTCAATAGATTTAAATATACAAGTGCTTTCCAAAGGGATCATATTTAATTGTTTGGTCCTTGTGGATCTAACCCAACAGATTTTTTATTTTTTTTTAATCTACACAAAAGAATATGTTGTACAGTTGGTTTAGCAATCATGAGCAGATCTGAATCTTTCTGTTCCCTCAAATAATCTTAGTTTTAGAATTGTCACATTTTCTCGGTGTGTAGCTGAATAGCAAATTGTGTTTTGTTGAATGGGTTTATGTCTGCACTCTTCTGGCTTTTGAAATGGTGTTTCCGGAACAGTTAAAACACAATAGAAGTGCAGATGTGAGGAAGTGCTTTTGTATGTAGGGATTTGTTGAGATCCAGTCGTGATGAAGTCATCAATCTGACCTCATCTAACCAGCTATACCTAGCAACCTTCAGTGACATACTGATTTTAAAGTATAGACACCCTCCTTTTTTATAACATGTATACAGTATGTTTTACATACTGTGTATACTCCTGTTTTAAAAGAACTTCACTTCTTGTCTATAATATCAAGGGTAGATGTCTAGGTTATTTTTAAAGCTCCTTATGTCTGTTTATGTTCTTTCATATGCCACATGAGCAGGAATAGCGGAGAGTGTGTTTGTTGTGTATTGTGTTATTGTGCTATATGGAAGGTTGAAACAGGTAGCCATTATTTTATTAGACACTCAGGCTTTTCCCCCTTCAAATTCTCATGTTTAAAACCAGCTTTCAAATAAGTGAATATATTTATTACTATATTATTTATAGTAATTTATGCCGTTTTAAATAATGTTCTATTTAAGGTGCATTATAATTTATGTTTATATAAAATTAATATCCGTCTAACATTTTACATTTTATTATGAGCTCATAATTGCTTGATTGTCAAACCATTTATCAAAGACAACATCCATTACAGGACCTACTGCTCAAACATATGCTGACAGATAGTATCTCTGAACAAGGTCACTCCTTTTTATACATACTTGACTTTAAAAGCTCAATATTACCATCTTTTAAGACCAAGAACACACAGCTAATGTGAATAATATAAAATGTGAGGCTCTGTTATTTGTTTCAGAAGGATGGCATGGCATAAATAGCTTGTAGATAATCGAATGCAACTTCATTATTTACTAGTAGGTAAGCAGTTTAAATAATTTAATCATTGAGCGTACTCCATAAATGTGTAAGTTTGCACTGGTTGTGCAGGAAACAAAAAAGGGGATTATAATAACACTACTTGAAGTACAAAGCTCTGCTTTGAGATTGAAGACACTGATTTATTTCTTCAGCAGTGTAACACTCAGTGTAAAACTATTCAGCCTTTAAACCTATTTTCTGATTTAACTTGAATGAAAGCCTATGATGAAATTTAATTTATTGTGATATAATTGTTTATATTTCTATGTCTAAATTTGGGAAAGGCCATAAAATCATATTTGAAATACCCTCCTGACAACCAGCTATGGAGTTTTGTCCTCTGTAGAGGACATTATTTTTTTAGCGATTTCTCTGAGACCTCACATGTCAGTCTGGATGTCCTGTAAAGAGCACATTCAGGGCTTTTCAGAGATACCAAATGATTGGATGTTTCACCATGATCACTCCCTCTCCTTGGTCTTTAAAAATGGCTGACATTAATTTAGTGATCAAATTCAACACCCTTATGGAAATATGATAATATTTTCTAATGATCATTTAAATCGGACTAATTTTCCAATTGTTTGTCATAAATCAACATCTCAGGAAATTGTTATGGGGTTTCAAATCAAAATATGACTGTAGAGGACACCAGAACTAAAAGCATGTTTATTATGCATTTTGGGAGACACAACAAATTAATAGGGAAAGAAATTATGTTTCAATATTCCTATGAAATATTAGATATTATGAAAATCTTGCTACTTATTACTTCCATTATTACACTTTTCATTACATGTTGCCCCAAAAACAAATTAATATGCAAATGATATACAGTGTATACATTGTACATAATGGGACAACCCGTTTATGGCTATTTTACGCACATGTTGCATAAAGCAAAATGGTATATCAAATCATTCTGTTATATCTTTCATAATATAGTTGAGAATCATTTTTATACAAAGTTTGGTAGAAAAAATTAAAATGGATTGGGGATTTTTTTTTTTAATCTCAGTTTTTGCCTTTTCATGTCTATTAATGTCTTTTTATTTATTTTTAAAACAGGAAAGTCCTGGTGCCCTCTACAGAGGACATAACATAACATATGAATAAAATATCATTTTTCAAAAATGTTATTTTTCCATTTTTTCTTATGCTGTAAACAATGTAATGCCATGAAAACATATTAAATTCAACTTTTTTTTTCCTTCTGGTAGTCAGGAGGATACATGACCATGTTCCTGCAGGCTCTGTTGGTTAAGTTTTAGAATGTGGAAGCAAGAAGCAGCTTCTATACCCAGAAGAACAATGTACAGATTGTTAAAACAGAAGAGAGAATCTGAAGAGACGAATGACTGATGACTCCAAATAACAGTCCAAGTGGCAGGCTTCATGCATTTAGAGGACAGTTTCTCAAAGGAAAATCAGACAGGATGTCCCCAACAGTGCTATTGATGAACAGGGCGTGAATGCAAAAGGACCCTTTTCTTTCCATCACCATCTGTGTCAACGACACCACTGAGGTTTCTAGACCGTAATTCAATAGCAGTGATCAGTTCTTGTTCAATGCATTTATTCCCATGTGATGGCAAAATGAAGCATGAAACCGTGTCTGACCATGGATCATGGATAATAACACCTCGGTGGGGATGAAAAAATATGCTTCCACTAACTCCAAATTTAAAGGTATTTTAAAGGAAAATGCTGCAGCATGCAAACAACAATAAAATCAGAAATTGATTTTTACTGTCAGCGCTGCGTTCCCACTTGTGTGATCCTGAGGCCAGTTTCATAAACATAGCCACTGATAAGATTGTCTAAAGAACTAGTTTGACTGACTAGCAGCTAAGGTAATGTCTTACTTTTCAGATTCAAATGAGACCAATTTATGTTTTTATGTCACTGACTTTAAAAAGTTATGATCAGTCCAAAAAATTACATGACTACTACTACTACTACTAAGACCATTTTTTAGCAGTTTATGCAACCAGCCACTGGTTCCAGGCATCTTAATCCATGCATGGCTTAATACACTACATAGTGCATAATACATACACTATGTAAGCAACAATAGTGTGAAAAGGACATATGGCCGTTTCTGAGGTTAATACTATGTTTTGCTCAAAACTTCTTATAAAAATACCCCAAACCGGATGAAAACACATTCAAACCATATACAATCGCATACTAGCTTCATGTTTCATCTGTGTTAATTATTTATGTAAACTGAATGCGTAAATTTACCGGCGGTTCATTTGGAAGGTGGGAATTTTGATGATGCAAAATTGATTGATGGTTTTGCAGTAAAACCTGAGTCATCAATCATGGAAGAGAAAGAGAAAGGCAGACAATGGTTGAAGCTTCATTCTCATTAGAATGCATAATTAATGGAAATTTAATCGAAATGGTCATTCTATCTAATAAATAAATAAAGGTTAATACATCGTTATTTCTCCAAGTGCACACTTTTGGACTCAAAGAATAATGGACATTGTTCAGTGATGCCAATTCACAAACAGGTAGGCTACATTATCATTAACATTACATTAACATTATCTTTCAATATGGATCTTGTTGTTTGCATCATAATAGTGACAAAGTAGCTAGCAGAATGGCTGACCTAGGTGTTATGAAATAGCCTTTGTTTCCTCTGTGGTCTTTCTTTCTTATTAAACTACTCAAATGTCAGCATCTCATGTATTGTATTAATAGCATAGAGTATATAGACTATGGTTGCGGTCTCTTGTGGATGTAAGTGATACCAGAATTTTTATTTTTGGGCTCCTTTAGGATAGGGCTTGGAAGAAGGACGTATCATCTGTGGTCTTAGAGGAATTCCCTACAACAATTGCCTGCAACAAAAATGAATTGCATGGTCCCAGGAGAATATTTTAACTCCGGTTACCATAAGCTGCATTCACGCCATGTCGTAATTACCATAATTCCGAGAAGCTGTTCCACTCGAAGCTATAGCGTATATATATATATATATATATATATATATATATATATACAGTATATATATGTATGTATGTATATTGCTGTGGCTCTTTTGAGAAAAGAAAAACAAAATAATTTTGCGGCGGTCAGGTGGTACATCGGTCACATATATATGTACTGTATATATATATACAGGTGCATCTCAATAAATTAGAATGTCGTGGAAAAGTTCATTTATTTCAGTAATCAGTAACAAATTGTGAAACTCGTGTATTAAATAAATTCAATGCACACAGACTGAAGTAGTTTAAGTCTTTGGTTCTTTT